AATAAAGACAAGATTTAATGCGGGACACTCATGAGTAATCCAGTACCAAACATTGTACTTGGTAGTGATTTTGACAAAACAAAATTGAATCATGTTACATAATTGGTGATCTAAACATGAATCAACATAATCGCATTTTATGATCATTGTCTCCACTCTACCATATTTTTATATTTTAAAGGTAAATAAAGAAAAAAAAAAAAAACCGGCAGCATTTTATTCACAAATGATTTTGTGTTTTGTATTACATTTTCTTAAAAAAAAACTAAAATTTCTTTATGGTTTCTAAAACTTTGCGCATATACTGTATGCTAATATTACTCTATATATAAGAACATGTTACAAAGACTACAAATTAACTAATTCTTTAACGAGTCCTTCACATGCTCAATAAATATTTACTAGAAGTCAGGCACGTTGCACGTACAAATCTTTTTATAAATAGATAGAATCGAGACGTGAAATTAACACCTCCACTCATACTAGGATCATGAAGAACTTCCCCGATCATTCAAAAACTCAAATTTTAAGTTAGACGTTCAAGAACAATGGATTTTGTGACCTTCTCTTCTAGATCACTAGTCCGAACTTTTGAAGTCCTAAATTGATGGCCTCATAAGGCAAAAACTGAAGGACAATGGATTCCACTTCAGCTACATGACAAGTTTTTTCTTTTTCTATTCTTCCATGAAGTGAAAACCTACTTCTATACAATCATGCAAATGCAATTGATGAAATTGATATAGGTTAGGTTACTTTTCGCTGCATCTTCTCATTTCCCCCATTGAACCCACCCAACAAATCTACTCAGAATCCCACTATCAGTCTTCTTCTTCTTGTCATTTATCTCTTTATCACCCTCCATTTATAGGATTAGACAATATAAAATTATAGCCCCCCGGGCATAGCCCAGTGGTGTAAAGGATATGAGTGAGATTATCTCATGCCTTGCTGACAGCCGCAGTGTAAGGGTTCGATTTCTAAAACATGGAATTGGACTCCTTGTGGGCGCAGTGTACAGGTAGCTCTTGTTCCCTGACCTGTTGGGACATATCCCGCGATTTACCAACCTCACAAAACTTTAGGGGCGATGCGGTGGGAAACCTTAAGGTTGAGGTTCAACCTTTTATTTTTTAGACAATATAAAATTACATGGAAACACAAACGGGAAGCTGCAAGACAGAACACGTGTGAAAATACAGAACACAAAAACGATGCATGAAAATCTATAGGGAAATTACGCGATATGGGACCATTTGCGCCAATTTCCATTTCTATAATCTCCATTTTATAGATTCAGTATTTTATATTTAAGCGAATATTGACAACAATTCAAATTCTATTACATGTTAATCTTTTGTAGTTTTTGTATTTATAGACTATAATTAATTTCATTTGAAGTTCGCAACAAAGTCCACAATAAAGTAAAATTTCAATTCAATGTTTTCAATTATTTTGGTCGAAAACTTTCTGAATTTTTTAAAGAAGTTAAAATACTCATTTGAGTTTCAAACAATATTATTACATGGATTAAATTAAAAATAAAAGTTTAAATCCTTTTCGTCCTCTATATGTACATTAATTATCATCGAATACGATGTACTAAACATGAGTAGAAGAGATAGAGAATAAAAAAATTATAACACAAAAACGTAACAAGTGCCCTAATTTAATCCGTTGACCAAGAATATAAATGGGATCGTTGTATGAAAACCAATCAATAAAGGCATAGGCAGTGCCACGAAAATGCATGGCGCCTCTACATTGGACTGTCATCTCAAGAAAGTTGGTGGTAGTTAATGGAATTTAATAAATATTTAATTCATATATATAATATATATTTTTTTGTAGAAAAATCCATGTAGGTTAGATGGAGGGTTTAAGATTAATATTGACACTGGTGAAGACTCGAGGAGATGAGCAAGTTCACTTCTATGCTGAGCTTGGCTATGACTAGGTCGAGTTAGGCTGGACAACCTCAAGTAAAATTATCTGAGATATTTGACATTTTTCTGTTAAATTATCCTTCTTTGATTTGCAAATGTGTGCATGCATGTGATTTGCATTACGTATCTGCCTCGACGAAGTGGTCGTTGATGATTTTATACTTTTTGATCTAAAAGGTCCCTGGAATCAACGTTGAGATGATGCCTCGATGCTTGCAGATTTTTGTGTCATATCTATATTTATAATAAGGTTATAGTAAAATGACTCATTTTTTTTTTTTTATAAATATTAATAAATTCCTTACATGTAGTTTTCTGCACGGCTTTTGATAGGTAGACTTTTTAATATGTGTGGCATTTATTTATTGAATTGTCCTATCTGTCTTGCTATTTATTTATTATTGATTATTATTTTTCGAAACTATCAAGATGAGTGTTGCTAACTAAAATTTTAATGAATTTTATAAGCATTTGTAAATTTAGGTGCAAATCCATTAAAATTTTGGTGTTCATGATAACTCGTGAATTTATGTGAGGTTTAATTTCAGTAATTGTAATTTGATCCAAAGTTTAGTGGGAATTGGAGTTTTAGTTGAAATAGTCTTGAAGAGCGAAAAGAAAAGTCGCCTATTTTCGCCAGTGGACGCTCAAGTGGCTCTTGCATATTTTTTCCAGAGACTTGTAGCTTGCCTACTGCTCTTTTGGTGCTTGAGCGGCAGAGTCGTCATCCAGCCTATCAATAGTTTGTTACTCGAGCAACAAGGTTATCCAATCCAAGCCTGTTTTGCGTTTTAACGCGCTTCTTTTTTTTTCATTTTTTTTTGGCAACTTGTTTTCTAGGGTTTATATAGATAAGTCACGACTTGAACTAATTCAACAACATTTTGAAAGTTTTAGCTCTTAATTGAAAGTATCGAGATCTTGTTGTAAAAATAATTGTTGTCGATTATACAATATTTCTCCTCTACTGCCTGTAATTTTTTTTTTCATCTTAGGTTTCCACATAAATTTTAGTATTTTTATTTTGTTCTTGCTTATTTCATTATTTTGCGATCATTTCATAACAATAGTTATGAGTTTGTTGACATCCTTTTAAAATTTGTTTTGTTTTGTTTTGTTTTTTTTTCCCAAAATATCCATGTTTGGAAAGGAAAAAAATGGATACCTTTTGACAAAATTGACAAAATGCCTACGTTTGTATGATGCCAAATAAATTGCATTCTCCGCAAAGTATGATATAAATAGAGATGACAATCGGGCTCAGGCCACTCGTCGTTCGGCTCGAAAAAAGTTTGAGCCCGCCAGACTTGAGGCTCGAGAGAACCAAGCCGAAACTCAGGTCAAGCCCCATTTCGGGGTGCTCGGCAAAGCCTGAGCCGACCCGTGTGACTCATCGGCTCGAGCTTATATTAAAAAAAAAAAATACAAGGCAAAAAAAAATTTTTAAGGGCAGCAAGTTGCTGCCTTAATATTTAAAAAAAAAATTATGAAAATCAAGTCGGCCCAGCTCGGCTCAAAAAAGGCCCTATCCAAAGGATCGGGTCGAGCCTAATTTTTTTGGCTGAGCTTTTGCTCGGCCCCGGAAAAAAAAAGCTTGTTCATTTTAACTGAGCCGAGCTCGAACCTCAAATTTCAGCTCGCGAGCCGACTTGACCCGACTCGTTGACATCCCTAGATATAAGCCATGTTTGATAATTGCACAAATTTTAGACAAAAAGTTTAAGCTTCAAAACAAGATATTACGAAACATTCATTACCCAAGTAACACACTGGATTGTAAGCCTTCGTGACATTTCTTCTTTCTTTTTCCCCACGATAATGAACCGTACACAATGAACTGTTTTGAATTACAATACTGAACACATAGTTGCCCAACAAATAATCATCTTTCGCAATAGTATAAGTGCCTTGACAATATAAAATGTCTAGCAAGAATCCATATTAAAAATATTTCTAGTATTTCTTTTTATCAAATTGGCAATTTTCCATAATATTTATAAAAAGTTGCATTTCACAAAATGGACCCGGGATATGGCAATTTCTACATTTCCTCATTTTGGGGTTAATCCTTTGATTTTAATTCTTTGTTTAGTACTAAAATCTTAGCTAAGAACAATTTGTCATGAACGATCTCTCTTTAAAAGCTATCCTGGTATCCGAGGTTGGTGGGTGATTAATATTGGAGCAAATCCTATTTGGTAAGGGATGAAAATTAGATTTTTTGGTAGATTTTGATAAAAGTTGATGAAATGTGTGATTGAAAAGTTGTGAATCTTATAAAATGTATAGTTAAAATTAATTGTTGACTTTGACTTCTATTGAAATCTAAATTTTAATTTCTACAAACAAGGGAATCTTCTCCGAAGTTTTATGATAATAATAGAAACCTATGTTATCTATTTTGTTCTTTTCTCCTTATGGTCTATATGATTATACATGTTTTTTTAACTATTTTTTCTTAATTTTAATTCAGACAAAAATAATATTTTAACTTTTTTTAAAAATATTTTGTACAGAGTATTTAATCATATTTATGTGAATTTTGGTTTCTCATTATTAAATGAACAAATTAAAATTGATCTAAAAAATATTTTGGGTAATTATCAGTTTAAGTAGAAGTTGCTTCATACTTCTGTAAGCAGATTATTTGCATATGTGTTTTGGCTCATTAGCTGTCAAGTACGTACGGTGATCAAGCCTATGTAATGACAAAATTATTCATACCTATAGCTGTTTTGCCCAACTACCTTGTCTTGTTTTACATCCATACAAATCTTTATCTTCTTTTTTTGATTAAGGTTTTTTATTTTTTTATTATTGGTTGAATAGCTATCATTCTCACTTAAAGCAGCTGTGTTTTTACACACAATTTATTTGACTGTATATCAATTCATCAGTAATACATATAAAGGAAATTCAAGAAAAAAAAATAAAATATTTTCCTGGGAACTCACTCTGATCATATTGCTTGTCACCATCATGGTAGTGGACTGATGTAATGCATTTGATCCTAAATGCTATAAATACATATTGCTTTATGTGGCTAGAAGTATGTCTCTTGCCTGTCTCTGAAACAGGATCGTACACAAATTATAACCATGTTCTTGGTTTTATTTTAAACCAAATATTTTCTTCCATATCAAGAAGAGTGCACTTCTTATTGTTCTTGGGATAATTCTGTTTCTTCAGTTAAATTAAATTGTAGGATCTTCCAGTTTTCTCGGTGCTTTTGGCATTGAAGGACTGCATTGCCTTCCTTTATTAGCAGCTGAGTTAGAAATTTTGAGGTAATAATTCTAGATTATGCATTATAACAACATTAGAATCCTTTCAGTAAGGGTTACCAGTAACACTGTGCACCATGAGCACGTTTGGTATGCAATGTTAGATAGGATTCGACAGTATAAACAGACAAGATCAGCAGCATATATTCACCAGCTATTTCTGTTCTAGAGGAAAATGGACAAATTTGGTGAAACATTTGTTCTACTTATCGTTGGCATTAGATTTTAATATTAACTGTTTTAAGCCCCCATATGGAAGTTCCATGAAATCTGTAGGCAGATTGAATCAAATAGGTTTGGAGAATTACATTGTTAGTTTTTTGGGAATTGACACCAGCATTTGGTAGCTTATAATTTTATCCATAACTGGTAGCATCGATTGCCTTTACCCTTGTCTTTATATTTATAACCTAAAGCCAAGGTTTGTATATATTCTAGTGTTATTAGAATTCTTCAACTGTCTAGAGCTTAATCATAGTATATGCTTATCCCCTCAACCGTATATGATCTAATATTCCTAGTATATGATAGAAATTTTTATGGGGGTGATTTTGCTCGATTTGTTATTGCTCTCATAAGAAAAGTTTAGAGTTCATCTATAACGAGAATCTTGTGTACATACATATAGGTGCTATTGTCTTGCTATGGAAAAGAGCAAAACAACTTATTTGGCAAAGGAAGATGGCATTGAAGTACTTCCCGCGCTAATCAAAGTCACTACTGCACACGAGGTGGCCAGTTTTGATTGTGTAATGCCTCACGATGATGCAAAAGATCGGCTTAAATTATCCAGCTTTCATTCTTTCAGTTCCTCGGATGTGGTAAGTTGTAAAACCTCAGATGCACCAAGATTTTAGATATATAAAAGTACAATCCTTTTTCTTTATCGATAGAAAATTGCTATAAAGTTTCAGTGAGTCTAAATTCGCCACTGCACTATCTTGTTGATACCTATATTTGTTATTCAATCACAGGGGACTGAATCAGCTGCTGCAGAAGGTCAAAATAAATTTTCTCATTCCAAGATTACACATTTTGTTTCTATTAGCATGCCACCTTCTCCTTTGGGAGCTCATCTTGAAAACAAGAAAGAAGTTCCCTCCCTAGATAAAGATGTAGCAATTGCGGGAGATGATATTCCGAATTCAGCTGCTACATCCGAGAAGACAACGAAGACAAAATTTTATTCTCAACCAATGCCAAAAGGTTCTGCATTGAACGAGACCATCGCAAATGGATCAGTTTCTAATCCTCCAGAGCTCCCACTAAGAAATCCCATGATTTACAAGCTGAAAAATAGACCATTTGACCCATTTAAGACATGGTCGGGTAAACTAGAAAGACAGATATCGAATTTGCGAGGAAAACATTCGGAAACTGCGCAAGATGTCGAGTCTCAGCATCCTGCAGAAGTTGAAGCTTTACCTGTGGATCGATATTTTGATGCCTTGCAAGGACCGAAATTGGATACTGTACGAGTATGTTTTTTTCTACTGCTCAATTGTTGTTTTAATGCATATGGTTTCCTTAACAGTTGAAAGGTCATACTTGCAAAGCTTAGGTACTAACCATTTAGAAGAAAATTTCCGTTTTGGTGCATAGCAATTTCTTTATATATATTTCTTTTTTCTTTTGAAGATTTTTATGCAGCAGATGCATATAGAATATATTTTAAAGATTGAAGTTAATGAAAATACTTGGCAGCATGTTCTCCCCAAAAGATATCATAAATCATGTGCAATATATTATGCACATATGACATAATACTTTTGCCTTGCTGAAATATTCTTCATAAGTTCGATTATTATCTGATTTAGTTATTTGGTAGTGCTATTCATTGGTAGAGAAAAATTCAGGATCTTTTACTGAGAAAAATTCATGTAAGCGAGATGTCAAATGATACGCTGTGGACGTCTTATGTGGCTTATCAATGCCTTCAGTGAAATTTCTTTGTTTCTACTTCCAAATAATACACTTCTAGTGCATGCTAGGTACACCATAATAGGTAGGACTGAACATTATAATAAACAAGATTTAACTTACCAATCCTCTCTGCCAATGTCAATGTGGTGTGATTTTATCCTTCTATCCATATACAGGGATATCTCCAAGGAGTTGTTGCTGTTCGTTTAAGCCTAAAATTGATTCTTCTCGTTAACAGGCTTCTAAAGAAGTACTTCTTCCAGAAGACAAAAAATGGCCATTCCTTCTACGTTATCCAATATCTTCTTTCGGTATCTGTCTTGGTATTAGCAGCCAAGCCATTATGTGGAAAACCTTAGCCACTTCTACTTCCATGAAATTCCTCCATGTAAGCCCGGATGCAAATCTTGTACTGTGGTGCATATCTGTTGCTCTTGTAGCAGCTGTCTCTTTCATTTACAGTCTGAAAGTGATTTTCTACTTTGAAGCTGTTCGTCGTGAATACTACCACCCAATACGCATTAACTTCTTTTTTGCTCCATGGATTGCGCTTTTGTTTTTGGCTCTTGGAGTTCCACCATCGGTTTCTCAAAATCTTCACAAATCTCTATGGTAACGGGTCTCCAATGTTTTGTTCTATAACAAACATCCACGTGTTCATTTAAGTGTCACCACACTTTAACTTGTGAGATCAGCTACTTACTTCACAAGTAAGAAATGCCACACGTGATGGTCTATCCGTAATAACGATATCCGTATCTCGTTATTGCTTACGACCATGGATGATTTAATATTCAATCAAATGTAATTTGTATCTCACAATCACAACTCCTTGTGATTAACAAATTACAAATATTTGAATCTACGGACTCTATTATTTATTTAATTGTCTATTAATTAAATAATAGATCTGCCATTTAATTGCATTAATTATATATAAAAGTATTTATGTCCAAAGTTGATTGGACCTAGGGCATAATACTTACAAAGATTTATAGTCGTTGATGCAACAGTATAACTCATATAAGAGAGAAATTTTATCCTAAAATTATCCCTCGGTCTATTAGGTAGACTTGTTTTATCTAAAAACACCAGTATGGTTCAACAGCAGGCAGGGAAAAATTGTATAACGAAGGCTGGAAAACTGCAGGCAAAATATATTATTCAATTGATCAATCGAACAAAAAGCAAAACAAAGAAAGTCGAGAAAATAAATTGTGATCTGAAAGCCGAGGGTTAATTCCTTGAGAATGAGGTTGCCATGCGCATCACGTGGCATTATTTATTAAAAAACCACACAGCAAAATGAAGCAGTACAGGGATTATTTGGATGAGGAATTGGCGTAACTTAAGACGCTGTATACCGTCTGAATTGTGGTTAGAGCAAAAAGAAATATTGCTGCAATGACCGAAAGAATAGACCATGGATTTCTAAAATAGTTGTGCATGATATCAGCCCTCCATGCATTCCATGGCTTCTTGCAGTAGTAACTGACACTGTTATGCACTTTTGCTAATCTGTTCTCAGGATCTAGCGTAACATCCTTGGATAGAGAATTGAATAATTCAGCAACAGCTTTGTCGCTGCCAACCGCATGCTGGATGATGCCACTCGAGTGCAGGAGGCTAACGTCTCCAGCACTGTCGATGATGTTGTCCATGAAAAAGATGTAGGAAGTCACCTCATTCCCTGCATTGACGTGAAGTCGCTCAAATGCCATTAGATTTAGATACGATGATTGAGTAGTATCATCGACCATTATTGGTGGAAGCTTGAGCACCCCTCTATGGAACGAGATATCTTTTAGGCTTTTTGTTTCACTTTTCTCGATTTGGATACCAGCTTCGTTAAGCTCGGTAGCAGACCGGATGATCTGGTCTTCACCTTGGTGAAGTTTATGGTCAACGTTCTTGTCAGGTTCTTCCAATAGGCTCTTCCGATATATATCTAAAATGTGTAGGCATTTTCCCATGTTTTTAACACGGTATTGACCAAAGAAGTTGAGAATGCGCTTAATCACAATACTCTCTTCTATCTGAATAAAAAATAAATCATGCATTAGTTAGAAATAGACTTAAATAAAACAAATGCTACGAATATTGACCTCAAATTTTTTGTTATCAACATCAACTAGCTTCTCAAGAACCAGCAGAGGCAACTGATTTTCAAGCCTCAACATGTCGCGTTTGAGGTATGGCACAATGTAAAGCGTTCCATGCTCGCTGAAGATGGGATCATTGGGATCGTAGTCATTCAAAGCCGAAGTGCAAGTGCGCATTATTTCCAAAATGAAACAACCATCAAGGATCATCAGCTTCAAAAATTCTTCAGTTCCTAGTCGCCATTTGGAATCCAATTGATCATATGCATCCTTCAAATCATCCACCACTTCCGCTAATGCATTAACGTAGACCTCGATTGGTTTTCCCGATCGTTTTAAAAAGTGAAGAAGTGCTAGATGCTTATGCTTTTCCATTGCCTTTAAGTGGTCCTCTTCATGATGGTAAGGACCCAAAGACGCTGTATCAGGCTTATAGGCCTTCTTATTTAGTTCAATAACGGTGGAAGGTACTCTGTAGATTGATCGCTTCTTCCAATGCACCTCCTCTGTCGTAAAACCCGCCATGCTGTCGAGTTCATTTTTTATTTTGATTATCCAATCTTTTCTTTTCATTTTTTTCTTTACTATTTTCAGTCTTCTCCTATGATATCCTTAATGAGACATCCATATTTATATGGTTGATTTTTTGACAATGTTGTTTCTAAATCAAACATTCTGTTGTTCCTTGAAGGAATAGGAAGCAACTTATGTGGTAACTTGATTAACAGGAATTCTTGGAATCGAATTCCGTAGGTTCCTTAAAGTGAAGGCAACAACAATATTATAAGATAATAAACTTTTATGTGTGTTGGGCTGTGATGTCAATGTCCAATCCAACATAGGCTGTGTTTATAAAAAAGGCCCAATATGAAATGAGATGGTTCACTTGACCGAGCCCAATAATTCAGCCCATTTCTTAATTGCTCTGGAGCCATTGGATTGACCCACTGATCAACGGTTGATGGTCTTTCTATAAATATGACCCTTTCTTGCCCTAGAAGAGTGAATCGTTATTTTTCTTCTCTCTGTGAGTTGTCTCTCTTTCTAGAACACTTAAGGGCTTTCTGTCTCTGTGATTTTTTTATCTTCTTTTTGTGAGATTTTCTAGTGATTATCTTTGTGATAATCGAGTCTTTGTCTGAGTAGTCTCTATGTGAGTGAATTGGCTGTTGACGTGGTGTGTCCATTTTTTGTTCCATTGAAGCGATTCTGTGTTTGGGTCTGTGAGGGTCTATGGTTGAGTCTGGTGCCTCTATTATGTTCCTTAGAGGTTTATGGTCTGAACCTATGAAAGGTTGAAATCGCGATGCTGCGGTCTTAGGTTTTTGTAAAGTTCTTGTATAATTTCTTATACAGTTTCAGATCTTTGAATAATAATGTGAACTGTAAAGTGTATAAAGATGTTGCTTCAAATGCTAAATTTTTTTTTTATGACTTCTAATTAACCAACAAATTCCATCCCTTGAGCCTTGTGTTTTAGAAATCAAAAGAACGGCAAAATGGTATCGTGTAGATAATGCCACATAAATCATTTAAGCTTCATTATTTTCCATACAATGCTCGTGATAGACTAAAAGAAAATTGTTTTCGTTGTACTCAATCAAATAACTTTTTATATTTTAAGCGTGAATATGACTCGAATGATTTAATTAGTGATCTTGTTATCGAACTCGAATTTCATGACACAAGTCTTTCCACATCCTAAAATTTGTTGATTCTAGAGTCAATTAAAAGAGCTCTATAATTCTCATCCCGTCTCTATAACATAATGGAGATAATTATCTAATGGAATGCAGTTTTTGTATTTTTCTCATCTTCATAGGGACAACGACCATACGTCATTTACATATCCACAATCAATCTCATTATTTTTGGTTTCCCCACGTAGGACGAGTTTTTGAAATCTATAGCATTTTTAAACTTATATAAGCATCTATTTGGTTAAGATATAAATAAAAATTTAAGTAAATTTCCATAAAAGTTGATAAAACATATGCGTGGTTGAAAAGTTGAAAAAAGTATTAATCTCGTGAATAGGGGCAGATCCAGCACATGGCAAGCACCTGCGGGCGCCTGTGCTGGATCGGCCAGAATGTTCAACACCGCCGGGCACCGGAGGTTTGCAGACTTACAGTTTGCAGAGATGGAGGAAGAGGGAAAGAAAGAAGATGACCGGTTTTTCAATTTTTTTTTTTTTTGTTTAGGCTACTGACAATTGACATGGGCCTCTTTTTGTTTAAAAACACTAGGCCCAATGGTCCATGGTATTTCCCCCAAATCAAGTCCAAATCCAATACTCCAATCCAATTTCAAATTCATAAAAGGCAAACTTGAGGCTGAAGCTGAAGGTTGAAAGCCTGAAACCAACCGCAAACCCTTTTCCAATTCCAAAATTTCCATTCGAAGCAAAAGCAGCAACTGCGCCTGCGATTTGTGCGAAGTTCGAACTACGAATGATGGTCACTGCTTTGCTGCTAGCTCTTGCTGCTGACGAGAGGCCACGGGCAAGGCGCCGAGGAAGAGGATAAGGAGTCATCGACGACGACGTGTTTCTTCGAGCAGTCTACAGGTGACTGGTGAGCGTGCATTTCTCTTATTCTCTTTCTCTATTGTTTTTTTTGGTTTTGTTAAGGAAACAAAATATTTCCCTGAAATAGAATTAATTATTTGGAGTTAAGTAATTGTAATAAGAGTTTGATGTGTATAACAGTATAAGGAAAGGGAAATAAAGAAGTGAAAGAGAGAGAGAGACTGTAAAGGATCAACGACGTGGAAGTTGGAACTATGTTATTGGTTTTGAATTTTGCTTATTGAATTTTTATATTGGATTGGACTCTAATGCGAAATAAATTCTACCTTTGAAGCTTAAAATTACTAATTAATACACGAAATTAGAACAATAATAGATTTAATTTGTGTTATTAATCTTCAATTAGTTTCAAATTTCACTTGAGTTGTTGAATGTTGAGTGTTGACTATAATTTGTGTTATTAGTCTTATTAATCAATAATCACATTTGAGTTATGATAAATTTGTTTTTTATGAGTGTTATTAGCCTATAGACAATTTATTATTATTATTATTATTATTATTATTATTATTATTATTATTTATGAGTTATGATTTATGTTTTATGAGTTATTTCCGAGAATTGTGATTTATGAATTATGATAAATAATTTATGTTTTATGAGTTATGATTTATCATTTATGAGTTATGATTATTGATTTGAGAATTATGTTTAGAAAATTAAGATAGGTGAAAAAATTAATTAAGAAGATGTTGAGCTCAATTCAACCTGTATGCACTTTTAATGCATTTACATATATATTGAATAATTTTTAATATTATTAATCAAATTTTAATAAAAGATTGGGCTATTACGATCGTTGATTGTCGACGGTGAACAATCAACGGTCAAGCTCCGTCCTAGTTGAACTTCAATGCTGGATTAGCCCCTGCTCGTGAAATGTATAATTGAAAATGAGTTTGAAGAAAAATGAATTTTAGAAAATAGGGTCAAAGAGAGGCTAAAACTCACGACATTATAAATTAAACAGCCAAGCTTCATGAACAGAAATTTTTTTTGTATAGAACCATTACAAAATACACATATGGTAGGGTGGGTGGGTTATTTTTTGCAATATTTTAATTCACCACCTTGTGACACATCTGTAAAGCTTCTGTAAATTTTTTTCTGTACAATCAGCTTTTTTGTAAATTAAATTCAATTATCATGTATGATTTTAGTACTTAAGATAAGATGAGTTGAATATTAAAATAGGGAAATTACACATGGGCCCCAAATCTTCACCAAAAGGGGCATCTGCATCCCTTGCCTTTAAATCGAAGCATGTAACTCTATAACCTTCTATCTTTGTAGCATTTAGGTCCCTAAAAAAATGGTAAATTCAAAATCATTTAGGTTCATTTGCTGGCTGAAGAGTCGCATTAGAGTCTGCTTTACTAGGAATCAGGTCGTGGATTATGTTGTTTTCTACTTTAATTAACCACTGTTTTGTAAATATTTGTGATGCTACCAAAAAAATATCACCTGAAAGATCTCGAGTTTGATGGTCTAACTTCACTTTGATGAACACAATCGGTCTGTGAATACCTGCAACAAAGGCAACGAGGTGTGCGCTCGTTGCCACTCCGATGCTTAAGTCAGAGAGGGAATTTAGTACGTGAGACTATAAACTGAAGATAATGAAAACGTACCTTGATGTTGAGCCTTGGACTCGTTGCCACTCCGATGCTTAAGTCAGAGAGGGAATTTAGTACGTGAGACTATAAACTGAAGATAATGAAAACGTACCTTGATGTTGAGCCTTGGCCAAGTATTTATAGGTGTTGGTGGGGGAGATGTAGAAGGATTCTATTACTGGAAGAGTCTTTTTCCCCTTAGGACTAGGTGTTGGAGTTTGATTAGAAGTATATTGTTAAGAGTTCTAATCAGGGAAGGATTAGACTTGGTGGGGTCTATTTTTTGGAGATTAAGTCAGTGGGTAGGGTCGGATTAGAGATAACCCCGACCTAAAGGAAACCCCCGACCTCAAACCGGCTTGACACGCCAAGATCAACTTGGGGTCACAGGTCGAGGTCGAGGTCGAGGTCGAGGTCGAGGATCATGGCAATTGAGGTCTAGTTCGGGGTTACCAATCCGGAATCATCATAGGCCCCCCTGCATCTAGATCGTGTAGAGTCTACGATCTCAGATTGAGATGCAAAAAGGATGTCGTGGCTTGATATCGACCTCGACACCTATCATTTACCTATTGGAGATATGCTATGTCACGTGTCTGTCATGTGGCTAGTTGTCAGAGCTCAAACTTGGATCTTTGCCACATGTCCTGTTTTAAGGGTTTTAGATTAAGTGACTATTGGTATGCCCATGACTCCTATAAATACCCCACTATTCATTTTCACTTTTTACTCTCTACTTTCTGTAAAAGAAGCACGAGTTCGGGGATAGTGGGTTGTGAGCGATCGCCATTAAGGTAAGAGTTCGAGCCTTTAAGTTGTTAATTATTTGAGTAGAGTAATGTCGAGCAGTAGCAGTAGTGGTAGTAGTAGCAGCAGTAAGGGTCGAGTAATAGTGACAATAGTAGGCCTTCTAAGAGTTCAGGGGATAATGAGAACCCTACTGCCCCTAGTACGGCTGTGGAGACTCCGGGCGATCAAGGTCGAGATCTTGTCACCCTGGCCTTTCCTGTTAGCTCGCACTCTCCAGGAGAGGTATTGACTTATCCAAAGAACCCGACCACTTATAAAGAACATGTAATTATTAAGATAGCTAGAGAGTTCATAGTAATGCCCATTTGTGATGTTAGGGTTCCTGAGAGTACCGAAGATATCTTAGGAGCTCGAGAGAGGGAGATGACGTTTTTTAGGGATGCCCTTAAAGCTGGGATGTGGTGGCCTCTTCACCCCTTTTTTATCCCCTTTTTAACTTCGTTCTATATGTGTCCGGGCCAGTTGGCCCCTAACGATTGGAAGTTGTTGGTCTATTTCTTTATATTATGTAGATGCCTCAATATCTAGCCTAGGCTCGACCTTCTGAGGATGGTGTATGATATGAAGTACTTGCCGGGGTTCAACTGTTTTGTGTATTTGTCAACCAAGGGGGGTTTTAGAATGCCTGAGACCTCGAGCTCTCTTCGGGGTTGGAAAGAGAGATTTTTTTTTGTAAAGCCCCAGGACCCCGACCATCCTTTTAGCCCGAGGTGGGAGATCCCTAGTAAGGATAGGTTTAACGAGGGTCAGGTGTATTTTGAGGTTCTAGAGAGGGACAGATTAAGGTTAGTTAACCACGACCCCTTGGCAGAGAAGATCGATTATTTGCTCGAGGATGACACCCTTGACCTTGCAAATGTAAAAGGCCTCGAGGGTATGTCTTTTACTTTTTAAGCTTTATCGGCGTATTCTTGACGTCGAGATCATGCTAATGCCTTGTGATTTTTTTTCTCGCTGATCTAGAGATGTCTTTTGATCCTTCTAAATTGCTGGACAATGTCCATCGTAAGGCCAAGGGGCCGATGTCCAAAGCCCCGGCCTCAAAAAAGGGAAAGAAGAGGGCTAAGCACGCCGATGTTAGGGTGCCTGAAGTGGATCTTGAGAGCCCGGCACCTCCTAGGGGTCAACCGTCGACGTCAAGGAGCCCGACCTCAACGCCTCATAGGACGTCGAAATATCAAGATCGAGCTCGGGGTTGTTATGGCGTCGTGAATTCAGGCTTCGAGCCTATTTCGGACAGTGCCCTTGAGGAATACACGGAGTGTGCCCTTGTGAAGGACCTTGTCAAAAGGTTTGAGAATGAGGTTAACATTAATGAAGGGGTCAAGACACTAGATGCTTTGACCTTAAGGGTAAGATGCCGACCTTAATTGTATTTTTATTTTTTCATCTTCTTTGATCGAACTGACTTCAGGTTTCCTTTCCTTCTTTGTGCAGACTCTGAGTGTGGCACGAGGTCTTACTTTGAATGGTATCAATATTTCGAATGAAATGGGGGAGGTTTTAAAGGAGAAAGAGCGAGCTGAAAAGCGAGCTCGTAACCTAGAAAAAGCCCTCAAGACTGTTGAGGCTGACCTTAAGAAGTCCCGAGAGGAACTTTAGACATCCAAGGCTAACGTTGAGAAGGTTAAGCTCGAGCTTCTCCAGTCCCAGAGGAGCTTTGGGGAATAGCTGGCGAAGGCTCGTGATGAGGCTCGAGCTCAGGCTGTTGAAGACTTCAAGAAGTCCGACGAGTTTTGGACCTTATTGGGACAGTATGGGTCAGGCTCTTACCATTACGGGCTTCGCCTTACCCGTTCTTATCTTCACACGAAGATCCCTGAGGATTTAAAGTCTCTGGTCAAGGATTTGAAGACGGTGATCGAGCTTGCAGGGGAGCTCGGACTTTCGGCTTTTGAGGTCGCGGAAGATGGTGAAGAGGATGATGATGATGGTGATGGAGATGACATCGGGACTGGCGATCAAGGCGACGATGTCAAGGTTGTAGATATTGATTAGGTCCTTAACCTTGATGTTTTGAAAAAAATTTGTAATATTGCCCAAATTGGGCTGATACTTTTGTTATTAATTTCATCGACGAATGTTCGTGCACATTACTTTATTTTTAATTTAATCGATGGATGTTTGTTCACATTACTATTTTTAATTTGATCGATAAATGTTCGTGCACATTACTTTGTTTTTAATTTAATCGATGGATGTTCGTGCACATGTGTTTGTTTTCAATGCACAACGCTTTTGGACTCGATCAACACTTTGGTGCCGAACATCAGGCATGTCTGAGCTTGATTCTTGATGTAGTCATCGAGGTCGAACTTAGAGGCCCGTAGGTCGAACCAGATGATGAGTTGGAGCTTTTCACTAACTATAACTTGGGTCTTTTTAGCTCTGGGTGTCTTGTTGTGCAAAAGGCACGGGGCTCAATTCGATCAACATTTCGACCTTGAACATCAGGCATGTCTGAGCTCGATTCTTGATGTAGTCATCGAGGTCGAACTTAGGGGCCTGTAAGTCAATCCAGATGGTGAGTTCAAGCTTTTTACTTGCTATAACTTAGGTTTTTGAGATTGTTTCTAGATTGCAGAAGGGGTCGGGTTCGATCTTTATCATGTGAAGAGGCTCGACCCCGAACTTAACCATTGTTGATTTTTAATACAAAATAGGTCGGGGTTCGTGCCCTCGGGTTGTATTACGCTGCATGCCCATAGCACGTCGTTAATGTTGAAGAGTGGGCTATATGCCCGAAGCACGTCATTATGCCAGAGTTATTAGTTGCATGACCGTAGCACGTCATTACACTAATGTTAAAGAGGTGGCTGCATGCCCGAAGCACGTCATTATGCCAGAGTTTATTAGTTGTATGCCCGTAGCACGTCATTTTACTATCGTTAAAGAGTTGGCTGCATGTCCGAAGCACGTCATTATGCCAGAGTTTATTAATTGCATGCCCGCAACACGTCATTATACTAATGTTAAAGAGTTGGCTACATGCTCGGAGCACGTCATTATGCTAGAGTTAAAGAGTTGGCTGCATGCCCGAAGCACGTCGTTACGCCAAAGTTTAAGTAGTACTGGTAAAAAGAAACTTGAATATTATTAGGTGCTCAAGGGTACTTAGCCCGAGCTACTGAAAGCAAAAATGCTCAAGGGTTCATAAACCCAAACTACTAAAAAATAAAATTAAGGCGGGTGTGCAAGCCCTTGTGCGATGCTATTGCTATTCTACTTATAATATATTTTTAGGTTATCCACATTCCAAGGCCTTGGGAGTGGATTTTCTGAAGTATCTCTAAGGCTGTATGCTCCTCCTTTGATCCTTCGAATGGCCCTTCCCATACCGGTCCAAGTTTATCTCGAGGGTGTCCAGCTGTCTCTGCTCTTCTTAGAACCAAATCACCACTCTTAAATTCTCGGGACTTGACTTTGGTGTTAAAGTACTTTGCCGTTTTATTTTGGTAACTAGCAGCTCTCAGTGAAGCTTGCTCTCTTACTTCTTCAAGTAAGTCAAGATGTTCGGTTGTTTGGTCTTCCATGCCGGGTTCAACTCTCCTTAAAGTGGGGAGACTGACTTCGATGGGGATAGTGGCCTCTAAGACGAAAGCTAACATGAAAGGAGTCTCGCCTGTTGCTGTTTTATGAGAAGTTCTATATGCCCACAGTATGGAGAGCAACTCATCGGGCCAGTCACCTCTTGCGTTTTCGATCTTGGTGCAAAGGTCCTAAAGTATGATCCTATTTGTCACCTCAGTGAGGCCATTGCTTTGATTGTGTGATACTAACGTCAGACGATGGTCAATCCTGAGATTGACACATAAGTTTCTGAATTGTGAATTGTCGAACTGCCTTCCATTATCTGTTATAAGTACTTTGGGTATTCCAAACGTACATATAATCGACTTCCATATAAATGATCTGAGCTTGGCCTCTGATATTTTTGCTAGGGGTTCGACTTCTACTCACTTTGTGAAGTACTCAACTGCTACCACAACAAATTTTAACTGTCTTCGGGCCATGGGGAAAGGCCCAAGGAAGTCAACTCCCCATTGTTCAAATGGTGCTGAATAATGGATAGAGGTCAACTCTTCTGCAGGGGCATGTATAGCATTACCAAACCTTTGATACTTGTCGCATCTTTTGACATATTCAGCTGCATCTTTCTTTATAGTTGGCCAGTAGTACCCATACCTTATTAATTTGTAGGCAAGGGCTCTGGCTCCCTGGTGATTTTCGCATATTCCCTCGTGAACCTCAGTCAGGGCTTGGAGAGACTCGGAAGGTTTGAGGCATCTCAGATAGGGGAGTATGAGACTTCGTCGAAACAGCACCCCTCTGATAATGCAATACGTTGAAGCTTTGGCCCGAATACTCCTTACGGCGCGAGGGTCAGGAGGTAGGTCTCTATTACTTATATACTCAACTATTGGATCAATCCAGGAAGGCTCATGGTCAATGTCCATGACGCTCAGCTTCGTGTTTATGCTAGGCTCTGTAACAATCTTGATGTGCACTGTTCTGTTGAGTCCATCTATCCTCGTGAAAACGAATCTGGATAGTGCGTCAGCTTTGGAGTTATCTGCTCTTGCTATTTTCAATATTTCACAACTTGTGAACTGTCTTTGAAGGTCATGTACTTTTAGGCAGTGCAAGCTCATCTGTTCATCTTTTCTTTCAAAGGATCCTTCGATCTGTCCAACAACGAGCCGTGAGTCGCTGAAGACTCTGATGTTCTCTAATTCCAAATTCCTGGCAAGTTCGAGAGCAATGACCACAGCTTCATATTCTGATTCGTTGTTGGTTGCTTCAAACTCAAACCTAAGCGCGCATTGAACTTCAGTGGTCTTGTCCGGGCTGATGATAATTATCCCGCCCCCGAGCCCGAGCTGTTTGACGTCCCATCGACAAATATCTCCCAGGTTTTTGAGGTCGTGCTCAAGTTTTTTATTTCGGGCCTTTCTGTCTTTGGAGTGAGTTCAGCTATGAAGTCGGCCAGTGCCTGCGCTTTGATGGAAGGTCGAGGTTTGAATTCTATATCGAATTCGCCAAGTTCGTTCACCCATTTTAATAACCTTCCTGAGACATCTGGCTTCTGAAGTATGTGCTTGAGTGGTTGATTGGTGAGAACTATTATGGGGTGAGATTGGAAATATTGCCGCAACTTTCTAGCAGTTACTATCAAGGCAAGAGCTAACTGTTCCACAAGGTTATACCGAGTCTCGGTGTCAAGAAGTACTTTACTGACATAGTAGATGGGTTGCTGCACCTTTCCTTTTTCCTTTACTAGCACCCCACTTACGGTATTTCGAGAAACAACCAAGTAAAGGAACAAAGTATCACTAGGCTTTGGTTTGGCAAGAACCAGAGGTACAGCTAAAATCTGCTTAAGCTGTTGGAAGGCTAGATCACATTCATCATTTCATTTAAAGCTCTTGTGGCCTCTTAGAACTTTGAAAAAGGGAAAACACCTATCCGTTGCTCGAGAGACAAATCTGTTCAATGCTACTACCCGACCTATAAGCTTTTGGATGTCCTTTTTGCTCTTTGGGGGCTTCCATAGATATTAGGGCTTGTATTTTGTCAGGGTTGGCTTCTATTCCTATATTTGTGATCATGAAACCTAGAGACTTTCCTGATGCTACCCCAAAGGCACATTTTGTTGGGTTAAGCTTCATGTTGTATTTTCGCAGTGTGGAAAACACTTCTTCAAGATCGGTGATATGATCATCTACCTGTTTACTTTTGACCACCATGTCATCTATGTAAGCCTCAATGGTTTTTCCAATTAAAACGTAAGCCTCAATTGTTTTTCCAATTAAATCAACAAAGACCTTGTTGATCAGCCTCTGATATGTAGCCCCTGCGTTCTTTAAGCCGAATGGCATGACCTTATAACAATAGATGGCGAAATCTGCCATGAATGAGGTCTTCTTTTGATCTTCTGTGGCCATTGGTATTTGGTGGTACCTTGAGAATGCGTCCAAAAAGCTGTACAATTTGTGACCCGAAGTAATGTCAACGAGACTGTCAATCCAGGGTAGGGGATAGCTATCTTTTGAACATGCTTTGTTCAAATCAGTGAAGTCAATATAAACTCGCCACTTTCCATTGGCCTTTTTCACGAGAACTACATTGGCGAGCCAGTCAGTATATTGCACTTCTCGGATGAATTGTGCATTGAGGAGCTTGGCAATCTCTTCTCGTATGACTTCGCGCTGTTCGGGTGCAAACTGTCTTTTCCTTTGTTTGACAGGTTTGGCTCTTGGGTTTACATTGAGCCTGTATACTGCAACCTCAAGGTCAATTTTCGGCATGTCTTCAACTGTCCAGGCAAATACGTCTTGGTTTTGGGAGACAACTTATGAGTTTAGCCATGATGGTTGAATCAAGGTCACGCCCTACTGTCACCTTCCTACCAGGCTTGAGCTTGACCTCGACCAGCTCCTCTACCGGGGCAAGTCTCCCACGATTTTCAAGCTCAAGCTCGAGCTCTGAAAGCTGTATGATGTCTCCCTTTATTTTTCGGACACTAGTCACATAGCACTGGCGTGCCATGGTTTGGCTTCCTCAGACGACTCCAACTCCACTATATGTAGGGAACTTCATCGCCAGGTGAAAAGTTGAGATAACAGCTCTGATTTTATTTAGCAATGGTCTTCCTAAAATGGCGTTGTAGGCCATCGGAGTTCGGACAACTTCGAAAGTTACAATATGGGTTACCTGCCGACCTTTAGATCCCAAAGTCATGGGTAATCCAACAATACCTTCAGGGGTGATGACCCCGCCACCAAATCCTTGGAGGGGTGTTTTAACAGGCTTGAGTTGTTCCACTGAGATACCCATCTGAACTAAAGCTTCATGAGACAGTACATTAGCTACACTTCCGTTATCCACAAGAATTCTCTTGACCTTGAAGTTAGCTATGATAGCTGATATGACTAGGGCGTCATCACGGGGGAAGGATATTCCTTCCAAATCCTTGGACCCGAAGGTGAAATCTTTCGTATGAGCAAGATTCGTATTGGAAGAGGCTGGAAGCTGTCAGCATACTGCTTACGTCCACTGTTGGTGTCTCCTCCTGAAGTTGTTTCTCCGATAATAACGTTAATAGTGTCTGCCGTTGGTGGTTCACTACCACGCCCTTCCTGTATGTTATTCTGCTTGTTCCTAGGGTGTTTTTCATGGCTAGTGTAAGAGCCTAAAAAACCCCTTCCTGATGAGAGCCTCAATTTGTTGCTTCAGAGCCAAACAACCCTCAGTGGTATGTCCATGGTCCCGGTGGAAGTCACAGTACTTGGTTCTGTCTTTGTTTTTAGTAATGATAGTATTCTGGGAGGCCACTTAAGCTCTTTGAGGCCTTTGATCTCCATCAGGATGTTGGACCTTGATGTATTCAAGATAGTAAAGGTTTTTGGTTGGGGGTTTTATCTTGGCTTGACCCGAGGATTGTCGTCTCGTTGATTGGGTTCACGCGTCTCTTATTATCTGGCCTTAGTAAAGGTGAAACGTCCTTTCTTAGGGTTAGAGTTTCTTTCGTATTGATGTATTTCTCAGCTCGAGTGAAGAGATAATTGCAAATAATAAATGGTCGAGATAACAAATATCTTCTTCTTTTGTAGCCATCCTTGCATTGGAGTAGATAATATGGTTTTCAGATAGATAAACTCATATTTTTTCTTTTTCAGTAATTATCTGAGTTACATGCTCAAATATTTCTTTATACCCTTTTGCTCTTTTGTAGGGCATCATATTTAAAATATCTTGATATTCATTTTTAACAACCTTTTGACTGGTTGGTAAAAAATGTTGGTTTGTAAGTCCCATTTTGATAACATGGAACGATGGATGCATATATTCAAGAACGAGATCCCATTCCATAGTTGCTGAATGGAACCTAATGTGTATATTTGTTGTCTTGACAATTTCAGTATATCTTTTAACAACTTTCCTGATGTTAACTGGAAGCTGGGCTATTTCTTTGAGATCTTTGCTGGGATATATACAGAGTATATTTCCTATCTCAAAGCAGTTTCGTACCCAGTTGGCTGATGCTCCTGGACAGAAGTGTATCTTATTGTATTTTGCATAGTGGGAGTTTTCATCCACTTTCCTATCTCCAGATACCAATCTGATAGAACATTAAAAATAACAATAAAGAACATAACTTCTTTATGGTTATCTTTTCTGGGAATTTTTGCTTCATGGCATATCTTGACAATATTTTTTGGATCTATTCTTTCAATAGAAAGTTTAGATTGAGCTTGGCTCTGTGAAGAGCTACATTCGCTTTTGATATCTTGAATATCTTCCCTAGTGGGAATTTTTGTATTTTCATTACCAGTAATAGGCTTAAGTATTTCCTGTGAAGGGGTTCCTATTACCTTATTCTCTTTTCCTTTATCCTCGGGGAGAGCGCTAGTATTCACAAGTCCCTGCGAAGGGATACTAGACTTGGTACAAGTTACTTCTGCCTCAAGGGCTATATTTTTGCCTCGAAGGCTATCGTGAATATTTTGAATTTGTGTTTCCAAATAGGAAACTTTTATCTCAAGTATTTGGACTTTCGTCTTTAGTTGTTCTAGCTCCATCCCTGCTAAGATAATCAGGAAGAAAGTTAGTTTTACCTTTTATGTATTCAATATCAAATTTGAAATATGAAAACCAAATTTGTATCCTAATAATATATCTATTGGTAATAGATGGATCAACATTATTTTTTTAAAAATGCTTTAACTTGAGTATTATCAGTTCTAATCAAGAACTTCTTTGGTAATAAATAATCTTCATATTTTTGAACTTCCCTTTTTACAGCAATGAGTTCTTTCCTGTTTGTTTCATATCTTATTTCAACTTCTTTGAACGTCCCTGATGTATAACCTGCAAGTATCTCAGGACAAAAATAATTCTTTTCACATTTATATTTTTTATGATTCTTTTTAACCTTTAATACTGCTCACCAGTAATTATGTAAAGCATCAGTTTCAAGGATAAAGAAATCTTCTTCTTGTGGTATTACAAGTTTGGGCAATACCTTTAATTCTTCTTTGATTTTCCTTAAATTTTCACAATCTTGTTCTTCTCAAGATCACGTTATATTTTTTCTTAACTTTGGAAGAAAATAATTTTTTAATTTGACACAATTTTCAATGAATCTTTCAGCATAATTCAATATACTGAGGAAGCTTTGTAATTGTTTTTTATCTTTGGTTTCTTCAAGAAATTCTTGAAGTTTTTCTCCAATATGAGATTGCAATTGCAATTTTCCTTCTTTTATAAATAATCCTAAAAATTCTATTTCTGTTTTAGTTATCTCAGCTTTCTTTTGAGAAAGTGTAATACCATGTTTCTTTATAATATAACAAAATTTATCAAGATATTCAATATGTTCATCAATGTTCTTTGAGTGAATAAGTAAATTATCTACATATGCAATACAAAAATGAGTAATTAGTTTGATTACCTCATCCATTCTTCTTTGGAATATTTGTGGTGCATTTTTCAACCCAAATGACATTACATTCCATTCATATTGTCCTAAAGGATTGGGGGTACTCAATGCAGTTAATGGTTTACTTTCTTCTGTAAGCATGATTTGCCAAAATCCTGATTTACAATCAAATTTTGAAAATATCTTTTTGTTCTGTACTTGTTTAATAAGGGTGTCCTTATGTGGCAAATAGTATCCATTAAATTTGGTAACTTCATTTAATTTTTTGTAATTTATCACCATTCTGGTTTTTCCTCTTTTTCTCTCACTATGTTTTCTAACCATAAAGGCTGAGCTACTATGTGGACTTTTACTAGGCCTAATTAATTTGGCTTCTAGGAATTCTTTTATCTGGTCTTTAAATTCCTTTTGGTCATCTACACTATATTTCATGAGTTTGACTCTAACAATAGTGTTTGTATTCGTTAATTCTATTTTTACTTTTACTTTGTCTGTATTCCATTTTTCTAATGGATTTTCAAAATATGTTTCAGAAATTTCTTTTTTCAATTTTTCTAACATATTTTCTGTTATCATTTTTAGGACTGTGACTGGTTTAAATTTTTCTGTACTCCAACATCCACCACGCTGGATTGAGGAACTCTGATGGTTTATGTCTCTATATGCTATTGTAACAGCCTTGTTTATTTTTTGTGTAAATATTTTGTGTGCACAGGGTGTTGTGAACATATATTTATCAATATATTGTGTAAATGGTGCATATTTTAATAAGAAATTTTGTCATAATAAAATATCACATCCAATTGTGGTTGACAAATATATTATATCAACAAATACTTCTCTAAAGGAAATTAGGAAATGTACTTGCGTAGCATATTTGCTGTATACAACCTTATTCCCACCTGCTGTTGTAGCGGTGACAATCTTCTTTAAATTATATTTTCAATATTCAGATGATAGTATATTTGGTAAGCATAAACTTATTGTACTTCCTGTATCTAAGTAAGCATGAAATTTAATTCTACAATAACTTTTTATATTGAGTATAATTTCAATATATGGACTCATAGGATTAGTACTAATTACTCTTTCCATGATAACAATGATTTCATATTTTCATCAATTCTTGAAATGATGATTGGATTATAATCAACTGTTATTTTTAAATATCCTTGGCAGATTTTATGGGGACTATTTTTCTCAAAAAAGTTCATTCTTAGTAATATAGGTGAACGTTCAACTTCATATAATTCATCTTTATATAGAATTATTTTTTTAGTATATTTTTTCTGATCCTCTCCTATAAATATAAGAGGGAACTTTACATATTTTCTTATTTCAAGATTATTTCCCAAATAATCCTTGAATATATAGGGTTCTGGCATTTCAAGTTCTATTAAATGACTAACAAATTTAGCATTTACATGACTTTTATCTGCTCCAGTGTCAATGAGGACAAGAAGATTCTTCTTATATCCTTCTTGATTTACATATCTTGTCTTGATGTAATATTGTGAACTTGATGGTTCAACAATACTTAATTTCTTGAGTTTGTTTATCTTAGATTCTTGTCTAGAGGGAAATCTTGCAATAAGATTATCTCCTTCTAGGCTGACACTATTTATTCTTATCAGTTTTCCTTCAAAATTAATTTCTCTAACTTGTTTGTGGAAATCAAGTATTATTTGTTCTGGTATGTGACTTCATGTTCTTGGTATTTTCTAGGAGGTATATATTGTGCTAATTCTTCAAAATCTTTATGTATGATAATATTATCAGTTATTTTTCTTAGATTGTTATGATGGCTAGTACTAAAAGCAAAAATTGATTTTATTCTGCTACTAATAGCCTTACTTTTTCGTAACATTTTTAAGTTTCCAATCTATAATATAGATTGAAACTTTGGTCAATATTTTCATCAATTAGCGATATTGCATAGTTTGGTTTTACTGTAAATATTATCTTTTGATAGACTAAGTTTCCTACAATTGTTCCTAATAGAGCATCCATAGGATCTTGTAAGATTCTGTTGTCCATACAATATATTTCTATTGGTACGTTCATACATTCTCTAAAGAATCATTTTACCATTATTTGGACTCCTCCT